AATTTGATCGAGTGGTTACTGAGAAATCGTCGCTAGAAGTTTAAAGAAATTGAATGTTTTGGCTTCGGAATTAGATCAGAAAGGATCTACAGTGATCTTCAGCCCGGGATTTTCTTGACATAAGGAAACCCACCGGACATCGACCCAAATTAGTAGACCACTCCATTTTCCTCTGCTCTAGCCCAATTAAGGGTCCCGATTTTTCCACACCCTTTTTTGATATTTCCACATCTATATATAAATAATGTTTTTTTTTAAATTTGATCAAAAGTAACAGGCACCCACACAACCAAATTTGATGAAATTTTTTTTATTTGAATTCTCCAGAACTGCAAAATTCAAATAAAAAAAAATACATTGAATTTGATTGAGATACCTTCGATCAAATTCAAGAAAATTTTGCCACAGCTAAAATTTTGATAGACAATTAAAAATTTTCTCCAAATTTGATCGAAGGTATCTTGATAACCACTAAGCCAAATTTGATGAATTTTTTTTTTATTTAAATTTTACTGTTCCGGAAATTCAAGTAAAAAAAATCTCATCAAATTTGGTCAGGTGGTTGTCAGTATATCTTCAATCAAAGTTTTAAAAAAATTATAGATAGCAAGATTTTGATCGAAGATAACTCAACAACCACATGACCAAATTCAGTTGATATTTTTTATTTAAATCCTACAGACAGTGGAATTCAAATAAAAAAACTATCAAATTTGGCTTGGTGGTTATTGAGATACCTTCGATCAAATTTTCTTGAATTTGATTGAAGGTATCTCAATTAAATTCGATGTATTTTTTTTTATTTGAATTCTGCAGTTCTGGAGAATTCAAATAAAAAAAATTTCATCGAATTTGGTTGTGTAGGTGCCAAGTTACTTTCAATCGAATTTAAAAAAAACATTATTTACATATAGGTGTAGAAATATAAAAAAAGGGTTGGAAAAATTGGGACCCTATATTAATTAATTTCTTGTTTAAATTTTATTTGTATTGATTTAAATTCTCTCAAGCACATAATTAATAGGTCGAAACTCAATTTCTAATTTGTGGAAAGTAGTAAGTAGTTCATTATTTTGATGAAAATAAAAGCTTTTTTTTATTATAGACTTGTTCTAATTGGCTAAATTTTATTATCAGCATTTTGTGATATGAATCTTTAGCAAAATTACAGCAAGGATCACTTCAATTAATCATAGTACTTTATACACAATCTTGGGGGTTGCTTAATCACAAAATTTTCTAATAATTGATGATCATCGGACAATTACAGGGTATATCATTCTAGTATTGAAAAAAAGCTGTGGCAGCGTTGGTATTAACGCTAAGGTGAACGTTAGTATAGTATTAATGTTGATATTAACATTAAGGTGAACATTAGTATTAACGTTGATATTAACATTAAGGTGAACGTTAGTATTAACGTTGATATTAATATTAAGGTGAACATTAGTATTAATATTGATATTAATATTAAAGTGAATGTTAGTATTAATGTTAATATTACTGTAACATTAGTGTTAATGTTAATATTACTGTAATGTTAGTATTAATAGTATTAATGTTAATATTAATGTTATACCCAGATTTGAAATTTGCCCAATTCAGAATCTGTCCATCCTGATCCAGTTTCGGGGTATTCGAATTTGGAATTCTCAAACAGGGTACCCCAATTGAAAATAACATAACTTTTTGACATGTACTACATGACATAGCATCATATATTTAACAAACACCCAAGTAAATACTTCTACTTATAGAAATATAACTTTTGCGAATTGACATTAATATTTAAAGCTGCAAGACAAAAAAACAAATAAATAAAACCTTAATAAATAAAATCTTAAAAAAAAGACATGTAATATGTGACATAATTTTATACAGTATATCAAATGAATACTGGATACTTTTGTTTAAAAAATATAACCTAAAAGTAAGAGTAAATTCTCAAGTTAATAATATTTAAATCGCAAAAAAAAAATAGATAAATAAAAGCTAAAAAAAAAAAATAATAACTTAATTTAAGCATGTGATTTTTTTTTTCTTTTATTGTCTTTAAACTGATAGATGCTACGTAGAAGCATTTATTACATTAAAATGCTTCAATAAAAACTTTAACCATACAGGATATAGTATTGAAATTGTTTAGCAAAAAATTGAATTTTCGTTTATAATTTTTTGATAAATTTAGTTATATTATTAAATACTATATAGTTGTGCAGAATCCTAAAAAGCAGCTCTATTATTTATGATAAAAAATATTTATCTTATAAACTGCTAAAATTTTAAATGCAATCTATCTAATTTTCAAGCTTTGTTTTTATATTTTGAATTTTTTAAATAATATTCACTTCCACATAAAATGTTTGCTTTTTTACAAAAGCATTTTGCTGTAAGACAATCGTCTCTGCAGTTACAGCCTTTATTGCTAGCAAGAGTATTAAATTGTAGCCTTGCAGCTTCAACAATGCTAACAGATGTATGGATCAGGGGTTATTCAACTCAGAAAATTCTTTAGGCCCAAGTGGCAAAACCTTACTAGCAAGAAATGCTTTTTCAAAAATGCCAAATTGGCACACAAGACGATACATATTGTTGGGAAGTACCAATAATACTTTACAAGAAAGTGCACAATGATTGCCAGGTTCATGATCAATTTTAGCAATTTGTATCTTAACCAAGTCACCAATTTTATAATTACATTCTTGAATGTTGTACTTTGTATGTATTTGATGTTCCATCTTGAAGTAATAATCTTCAAGATTTTTGTTTGCAACTTGACGATAAATGTTATGATGAGTTGGACTATTTGATGCTTTTTGCTGAGTTGAAAGATGGTATTTTTATAAGAAAATAAATCTGAATTAATTGATTCTTGATTTTACTAATTATACAGTTAATAAATTTTTTTTAAAAAAATTAGATTTGGCCATATAAAATTAATTTTTTGGTTTTCATAAAATTTTTGAATAAATGACCGCTATCTAGCCTTAATTTAATTTAATTTAATTTAATTTTTTTTAAAAAAAGAATGCTCTACCCGGACAATAAATATACATAAAATTTTTTCTTTGCAAAATTTGATCCGGCCAGGTTATGAAAACAAAAAATTAAATTTGCTTAATTTTAAATTAAAAAATTATCACAATCTTGTCTTCCACGAGTTGTTTACTATTATGTGCAATACTATCCTCATCTTGCGTGTTTCTAGTTAGTTGTTGCATTGTCTAACTATTATGAATAATCTGTTATAAAATCGTTTGATAATTTGCATTTCTATAACTATTCCAATCATTTCATTCTTTGTTTTCAAAATTGGCGAATTCATTTTCTGAAATAAAAAAAAAGTATTTAATTATAAATATGAGAGAATTAGATTTATAAATAAATAAATGGTAAAAATTAATTAAAACTGACATGTGTTCTCATATTTGAATCATTTTTGTTAATAATTTTATCAGTTTCTGTATATGAAAAGCCGTTAAAACTCGAATTCTTTACATTTTCATAATTACTTTAAAAATTAATTAAAACTGATGTGGTGCTCTTATATTTGAATCATCTTTGTTAATAATTTCATTAGTTTCCATATATGAAAAGCCGTTAAAACTCAAATTCTTTACATTTTCATAATTACTCCAATTATTCCATTCTTTGTTTTTCAAAATTGGAAAATTCATTTTCTGAAATGAAATAAATTATAATTATAAGAGGATACAGTAATAAATAAATAATAAAAATTAAAGAAAAAAATAAAAATAAAATAAAACTGACGCTCCCTATTAATAATTTTGTTAGTTTCAAAATTTGTAGGGCTGTTAAAACTCGAATTTTGTTTATTATTCATATTATTAAAATCACCATATTCATGTAAGTTGTTGTAATTATTTGTGTTTTCTGAATTCTCTTCATTTTCCAACATCTTTGGGTAGGCCCTCTTCCATATTAATATTATTTCATTTCCACTCTTCAATCATATTAAAATAACACATTAGATGTTGTCCAAAGACTAACTCATACAGCATATAACTAGTAGGCCTAGGAATAATAGATGGCAGTAAAATTATTTTTAAGAAAAAGTTTTTTATTTAAGTATTGAAATTATTTAATTGTGTAATTAGTTTTTAAAATTAAAAATTAATTTAAATTATATTAAAAATTAGTTAAAATAAACTAAATCAAATTGAAAAAAGTTAAGAAATTAAAAAAATTGAATATGAATTTCACTCTATCTATATCTGGAATTACAAATATTTATAGCATACAGACTATGGGAAGCTCAATACTTCAGTCTCTTCATTTATTGTCTTCCATCCACGTTGAAAGGGCATTTTTTAGAATTTTATTAAAATTTTTAACCAATCTTTGTGATTGGGGGTGCAGGACCTCTTATTAATTATATAGATATCTTTTTATAAGCTAAAAGTTCTAAAATTATTTTTGTAGTAAACTCTCTACTATTGTTACTTTGTAAAATATAAGGTGACCCAAAGACAGTAAAAATTGAAAATAAAGATCTAGCAACCTCAGATGCTTCTTTAGTATGTAATGAGCATATACAAAAAAACCTCGTAAAATGATAATGAAGATGTACAATGTACCAATATTCCTTATCAGGGTACTTTTTAAAAGAAACAAGGTTAACCTGTACATGATGTAAAAATTCCTTTGAAATAATAGTTTTACCAACAATAGGTGTGGGAAAATTTCTTCTCGTATAACATTGAGTATATCAAGCGACATACAGCTCTACAAATAATCTAGAGACATAAGCATATTAATTACTTATAGCATCAAATGTTTTTTTTGAACCAGGATGCTGGTGTGTACTTCTATGTATTTTTCCAATGATATTATATAAATTTTGAAATGGGCAGATTACACGATCTGATTTTTCATTCATTTTTTTTATTTCCATGACTTGAAGAATAGGATTTTGAAGTAATCTGATATCATGCAAGTAAAAATTACTTTTTACCCAAAAGCAATCTTTTGTATCTCCAATAGATACATTTTTAGGGTTCTTTAAAATACTAATTATCAGATCATAATTCTCTTGTGTAATTATAGCCTTTCTTTATTGTGCAGATTTGTGATTTGCTATAAATTCTGATACAAGTTGGTTAAAAGCGACACATAAAAGAAAAGGAAAATCACTATCTGTCTCCATAATACAATTTTTTTTATTTTTTGCCCGAAAATAAAGAAACTGTTATATCTTAAGGCTCTGAAATCAGTTAAGTTTTATTAAAGCTAAGTTTTATTAAAACCAAGTTTTCTCGAATTTCATCTTTTATTATTATTATTAATAGACTTTTTAATCAATTACATTACTTTTATTACTTTTATGCATTAGGATATTAATGTTTGAAACAAATAAATTTAAATTCCGAACCCAATATTAAATTTGAGACCGGCATATGTATGTATGATTTTATTAGATGTTTTATAAACATAGGATATTGATCATTACAATTCCCAATTGGGGTACCCTGCTTGAGAATTCCAAATTTGGATACTCTGATTCTGAATCAGGATGGATGGATTCCAAATTGGGCAAATTCCAAATCTGGGTACAACATTAACATTAAGGTATTGTTTACCTGATAATCAATAATCATTGGGTAAACAATACTTAATACCAACGCATTCACCTTAACGTTAATATTAATGTTAATACTAACATTCACCTTAACATTAATATTAATATTAATACTAACGTTCACCTTAATATTAATACCAACGTTCAATATTAATACTAATGTTTGCCTTAATATTAATACCAACATTCACCTTAATGTTAATACCAACATTTACTTTAACAAAATATCAACGTGAATACTAACATTCACCTTAATGTTAATACTAATATTTACTTTAATGTTAATATCTTAATGTTAATACCTTAATGTTAATACCAATGTGTTCACCTTAATGTTAATACCAATGTGTCCACCTTAATGTTAACACCTTAATGTTAACACCAACATTAATACTAACATTAATATCAACATTAATACTAGCATTCACCTTAATATTACCGTATAGTTCCGAAATTAAGCACCCCTTTTTTGTTATAAGAGGTGCTTATTTTCGGATATAATTTTAAGAAT